ATGATAAAAAAGTTAATTTCTATTAAATCTAAAAACATCCGTCTGTAAAACGTGTTTGCGATAATATAAAAAATGCTTTAAGCAAGGTTTGAGGATAAAAATCATCCACAATTTCGCTGTATTATTATTATTTTGTTTTTAGTTATTACCAATAATACTTATTGCCTAGGGTGATGCATCCTTTTAAGTCGACGACAAAATATATGATCTACGAGGTGGTACTTATAACTCGATGTGACTAAATTCTGCAGCGTGATGTACCGAGCCACACCATACGATATACCAAGCTTTCATGAGTCATATGGGCCATACCCCATGCCGATGGGATCTGGCATTATTTAAAAAAAAAATGTTTATATTTAACAATTCTCATCAAGAAACAAAAAGTTTGTCATTTTGATATGTTGAAGTATATATTGTTGTGTTAATGCTTCAACATTTTCACATTATATTAAATATACAATACCTATGAGAATATTAACTCATTTGGAGTTTTTAAACTATTCAAGCAAGGTAAAAGTAATTATGTAGCCGGTATACCTACTATAACAAAGCTTGCATTAAGTATTGATGAATATTGTTAATACAATTTTTATGTAAACATAAATATTATTTAAGACTTACGATATTATCCACGTGTATAATGTTTTACAAATTAAAAAGGTCTAGTAAATATTATAAAATATATTTTACAAACATTTACATCAAATAATAATCTAAGAACATAATAATGCAATTATATGTTCTATTGTACGAGGAACTTTAAGACACGGGCTTAGGATTTTTGTTGTGAGTAAATTTGAAATCATATTTGTACAGTAAAATCTAATGACCTGAAAAGATAAAATGTATACAATTTCTCGGAATGACTATTAGAATTAAAATATAAAGTAAATCGATCGGCCGCGGCGTAGTGGAAGCATTATGCAACATTGTATCAGTCGTTAAGACTTATTAAATTATAAAATAACTAATATCTTTAATGGTTTTAAAATACTTATAAATTATAATCTACTATTTACGATTGACAGTCTGTAAGGAAAAAAATTATATTCCAGCGATGGAGGGTTGTTATTTGTAAATTGCAATGTATAGAATGACGTTCTCCTATAGAGAAAAATGGTATATTATCTGAATGCATTAATAGTTATTGAATTTGCATTTCTCTTTAGTCTTGAGGTCTTATAAAACGAAATAACCTCAGAATCAGAGATTATTAAAAATAAAATAAAATAATATAGTATGATATTATAGTTTTTGAATTATCTCGAGCAACTGACTGATACCGACCTATGGTTTCTTCACCGGTTTATTTTTATTTTTATTATTAATTTAAGTCATTTTTTGTTTATTATGTAAATGCTTCTATCCCCATCCCCGCTCAACACGCATACTATTCCAACCCGAAGTGAGCCCATACATAATTATTAAATAATGGTGACGGTAATGTATTGTATATTGTTATATTACCATAAAAAGTGCTGGACTATATTATTATTATTGCGGGGACACACGCGTCACTAAAGCGGTCCGATAGGTGTATACTATAATATTATGCATTATTCATCTGTAAGCTCATATATGAATATAATATTATATAGACTGTATTCAATAATCACAGTATAAATTGCTGATCGATAAAAGTGTAAATCTTCTTTTGTGATATTATTATGATCATCATCATCACACAACGGAATATAATGAATAAATATAGTGCGATTAATAGGAACTGCTCGTTTATTACATAGGAGAGAAGTTCTATAATATGCGTTTAAAGGTCGACTTAAAAGTAAAAAAAAAAAAAGCTAAAAGCGTAACTGAATATTCAGTCCTAAAAGATTCTATTTTAATATTGATCGCTCACACCTATTTCATAGACCCAATATATTGTTATAATATTTATAATAATATATAAAATGCATTCTAGCTCGATTTCTCTTCGACTATTGTGGAAAATGTCATTGCTGAGAAACAGAGGTCAAAAAGCGTTGAATAATAATTGCATCTCATTATCTTATTATAATTTACAAATAATGATTGTGTGAACTAACTAACTACTATAACTACAAGAGTTTAATTGCAAGTCGTCGCCGAGCTAAATATTATAATAAAAAGATATTTCCTGAAGCCCAGTTAAAATTTCTTTCACTTCTAACGATTATTGTATTGTGTTATTGTTTTATAATAATAAATTATGGAGCGATTGCTGTCGATATATTTTTTTCAGCAGAACACAATTTAGCAAACGGATGTATTAAATTTCATATAAAATAGTTTTTTGGAGAAAATAAAAATATTGACACACCAATGAACATTTTTGTTGCAATCAAAAGAAAACCGACCAAACGCAGAACTTTCTTAAAAAAACGTTTTGGACCGCGATAAATCTTACACTATAGGGGGTGTACGTGACGATCAGCCGCGTTAACCGTGTACAATAATTACATATATATATATAAAATATTATATTTAAGTCGTTTTATGTACTCCACTCGTGTTTTTGGAATCGTATATTATTATATTCTTTTATCGAACTAACGAATCGTGCGACCCGAAATCGTAAGTAGGAATCGTCTACTCTTTTTTTCTATCCGCAATAACGTACATTTGCAGAACAACCAATAACCATACGTTAATACCGATATAATAGTACATGTATATTGCATATGCACACAACGAAAGAAAAAAAACATAATAGTCTGCTTGTGTAAACAAATAAATACCGCCATTTGTCGTACCTACCTACGTTATGCGCATTTTACATATTATACGTTTAAGCTATTTTCGCTCGGGCGAACATTCGACCCTCTGGATATTAAATACGATTTGTTTTCGATGTCAGGCCTACATTGACATTCTCGTTCTCCGCCACATATGTACAGCGAACTATTCGGATATAACCGCGAATACCAATCATGGAGATTGCAGCGGTCAGTATTGTAATAAAACAATATACGCTGTGCGCGTACAATATATTCTGTGGAAGAACAGTTTGCTTATTTTTTCAACAAATTGTCCATAAAAATAATATCTTTGAAAACAAATCGTTTTAAAATGATTGAAATTGAAAAATAACGATACGAATCGTGCAGATTGCTATTCTGACGACATCCAGTGACATTAAAGTGTATGCATAGTTTCCCCCGGTTTACTTGATTTTTAACGTAAACTCTATCGATTGAAATCGTAATTAATAACTACCTTTTGATTTTGTACATTTGGTATACAGTACCTATATGGGTACATGGTGGCGTGAAATTTGGGCGTGAAATAATTAAACAAGTGTAAAATGTATAATGTGCCATAATATAGTGTAAACTACTACTTCATTGGTCAATTTTGTTTTCATTAATTTTTTATTAAAATATCAGTAATTAATTGCTTCACAATTTTATTTTAGGATTAGGCTAATTAGATAGTATTTTTACTTCACAATTTGATAGTAAATAAATGTATTAATTATCTAAAAATACAAAATTTAAGTTATTTTGTGTAACATGAAAAAAGCATAGGTCCTATTCAAGTGAGGGATGTGGTCCGGAACTTGAGAGCAATGGTGCAGATTTTGTATGAAAACAGTTGCCTACCTTTATTTATTTAATCTTTTTGTAGTTGTTCACGAAAACTTCTAGAAATTTGTAAAATGACGTTTTTTAGTGTCTTATTCATAACATTTTCAATAAAGAAAGTTGTTTCAGAAAACTTCTGAAAAAATGTTATTTGAAAAAAAAAAAAACAAGTAAGTATAAAAACTCAGAACTGCATCATTGTATAACCAATTTAACTCAAGAAAATACTTAAAAACTGATTGAATTTAATTTAATATCGAAATGTCAAAATGTTGACGTCAGGCCGGGTCAATGTCTCTACGAAGCTCAATACTTATTTTTTGTGACTAATGTTTATTAGAACAAAGAAAACACCGTAAAATAAAATGGAGTATAAAAGAGAAAAGAAAACTTAACGTTAAAGTACGTTTCTGAGTCTTGTATTAATAGTTATTTCTAACTGTCAAACGTTGGTGCTTGGTTATAACCTTAAGAATTCGGCCCACTCACAGCTGGAATTAGCTACATAGTTTATTATTTTTTCAATTGAAATATCAGCTGTAGATACTACTTATTTCAACAACTCGTAACGTTAATTCATAACGGTTTGATGATTAAAATATTTATGTTTACAATAATTTAATTATATAATAATAGGTAATAGAATAAAAATAAGGAGTAATATGAATAAAATATAAGCCATTCGTAATCGTGCCCCGTTCGTTATTGTGCATAATTTTAAAATGTCAACTTGGATCCGATCTCCATAGATCATGTGTTGATAATCCTGATATTTTTCAGGTGCCAAAATTTAACATCCGTTAATAAATTTGCTATACACATGACAATTTATTTTGGTGATCATGCCATTAGTGTTTTGCAAACATAACTTTTACTTTTACGAATAGTCAACAACTCAATTTGCTTTAGTTTGGCCAAATTTCACTGAATTATAATATTTTAGATTCTAAGCTGAAGGCATATCAGGCATATAAGGTGATTTTATAATGATGTGGATTTGATTTTTTTAAATATGTCTTATATTAGTTTTCTATTATATAAGATTCTCAAGTTTTTTATGTTCTGCTTTAATTTCATTCTGTTAAATTGCATTAAGCTCTTAACATGGCTCTTCACATAGGTCTTACAAATTAAATTTCTCTAAATAATATCATCAAATGTAAATGATTAAATATTTTAGTAGGTATATAAGTATCTAAAAATAATTTAGCATCATCCCCTATTAATATAATGCGATTGGCTGGTAACACATTTTGTAACTATTAATTACTTATTAGATAGATAACAATTTAATATACAATAACTCATCATTATAATTGTATTGTTATAATAAATGTGGTGTTATATAATATTAATATATTATGTCCATTATAAAAACAAAAAATGAATAATGAATAATATTACAATTGACATAATTACTATCATATTATAAGAAAAATTAAAAGCAACAGCTGTAAAAATATTTAATTAGCATTTATAACTCTATACGGCGTTTTTTAGGTATATGGTAAGGAGCTGCCCTCTTAACAACGCGAACGCGTCTGTTGTGTCTAGTTGGTGGGTGGTCCGGCCAATGAAATATTTGATTTGATTACAGGATTAACCTACATAATGATATTAAATCACAATAATTAAATATATATAATAATAATATTATAAGCCGTGTTAGTTATATTAACCGTTAAGACAAAAGTAAATTTGTGTTCAGCATGTCGACGTTTATGTTTTTTGAATGGAGATTCGTCTTCGGGAATCATTAAACCTCTTTTGCGTTTCACCTATATAACATACAATTACAATTATTTAATACAATTAATTAAAATGTATAATTGTTTTATATTATGAACTTGTTTAAGCCAATGTTTTCGTTCATCACCATAATCACTGATTTCCTCCACAGATGGCATATTATTTTCACCGGGTGGTGAAAACGGAAACATCATGGACATATAACCCAACTAAAAAACATTATCAAATATCAGTGATTGTATATTATGCTTAATATATTATATGAACCGTAAACATAGAATGACTACACATATTATATAGGTAGGTGTGTAATATTTAAGTGGAAGTAATACTGTAGTTGTTGGACAGTAATAATATCGTGGTTTCCACCTAAATTGCGATATCAGACAAAATAATAAAAAAATAAAGAAGGTATGTAATACTTATGAATGTGACGCTCATTATTGATCAGGGATAAATAGCTGGTTGATAGTGTTTATATATGATATGATAGTGCATAATAATAATATAATATATGCTGTCTAGAGATCTACATAACGTTATTTACAAACAAAGCTTACTGCATATTTAATTGCAGCTGATATTTCTGAATAATAATATTGAATTTTAATGACTTAATGTACATAATAATGATGATAATAATAAAGATACGCGATTTATAACATGACCTGAGAAAATATGAAAATTTAAAAAGTTGCGACAGTTGATACGTTTAAAACTTAAATAGAAGCTTGCCGGGGTAATCAATTTTTTAATAATTTAACATTGTATAATGTGTAATATGAATAATACGTACATCACGTTCATCTTGACATTTCGCTTCACCATTTTTGTTACAAACAGGCTTTTTATCACGTTTCTTTAACCTAGTAGTAGTGTAATGAAAACTGATCTAAATAAAATAATGAAATTTCAATGATTGAATACATAGATGCAATAAACATTAAAATTATATTATACCTACTCGATTCATATGAACCACAAACAGAGAAGAATACAATGTAATATTAACAATTAATTAATTTTAAGGGATAGTACTATATAGAATAGCGGAGTTATTTAATTTGTATATAATATAATAATATAAACAATGAACCATCTAAACACCGGATGCTCTCGGTCGTTGAAATATTTCGGCTATTCAGAACGTTTACATTGTAGAAAGTTTATAGTTGGTTTACTTGAAAACGTCCACTATTTAGAGATGTCCGCTATTTGGAGGTAACCGTGAAGCGGAGGATTCATTGCATATGTATCTTATACCTATAAAATTAATAGTACGTACTGAATTTTCTTCTGTAACTATTTCTTCAACAATCTCTTGTTCTTTATGACCAAGAGATATTTTTCCAAATATCAAAAAATTATAGAATTTCTTAATAAAATTCATATTAATTCTTCAACTTAAACGTTTAAAACGAATACCAAAATGTAATGACTCGTAGAGGTGCGTTAAGAGTTATTAAAACAAAACAATTATACCAGCCAACAGGAATGTTATAATATATCATATGTAGAAATGTATTTGGCCAGAATGTGTTGAAATCAAACAAATTAAAATTATGAAAAAAGAGAATTTTCGGTGATTGCAAACTCATTCAAAGGATAGTATATACTAGTTAAACATCAGAATAGGAGAACATGGAGGTCCCATTCCTTCTTCTTATAAGCTAAATTATTTTCTATGAACTTAAATAAGCAGATATCACTTGTAATTTTGTTTACTTTTAATGTGTAAATAAATAGTGGATACTTAAATGATATATTACTATATATTAGGTTAACTATTACTATTTTTTATTTTATAAGTTGTCATTCAAGGTGTGGAAATTTGAGGGCAATGATTTTTAAAGCAGAATTGCATAATATAATAGCTAGGCATTAAAGAAATAACAGCTAAATTAATAAATCAATCGTCATAAAATCTTTAATTTAAAATACTGCTTAGTTCAAAGTATAATATTATCATGATAAATAATAACATATTTGTTAATACTTTAAAAAAAACTTTAATTTTACTTTTTCAATAAAAACATAATTCTTAGTTTTTCATACCGATCGGACAATAAAGCAATACAATTTTAGAAAACATATCCGAACTATAAGTCAGATGTCTGCTTGGGATCTAAATTGTTGAAAAGTCTCAACGAACACAATAACAAACAAAATCAAAATGACTAACAAAACAACAGTGGTAAGCTCAATAGCTCCAATTAAAATGTTCCCATATTCAAAAAAATTGATAAATTTAATGTCTCCCTGGTTGAATTCATTTTTTTTTTTTGTTAAATATATAAAGTATCATTAGGAGTTATATTACATGATGACAAACGTAGTATGTACATTTTTAATGAATAAACCCAATTCAGTATTGGCTGATTTGATATTGCTTGTTGGTACTGATTGATGTAAACTATGGATAACTATTTTGATTGGGACACAAAAAAAAAACAATTATAAACACTGGGATAAAAAGTACGAAAATAACTTTATTTTTTGTACCTACTAATAAACATTTTTTTTTAAAATAGTATAAGTAAATCCCTTACGCCCCACCATAAACGAATAACATTTGTTTTGAGCTCAGCAAAGTTCGATATATTTTTATAGGTGGCAGTGTGGTCGAGCTCTGTAAAGTATTAATTTTTTTATTGAAACGTCAGCAGTAATTACTATTTATTTTGAACATTAATATCGTCTTGATGATTACAATTTATGGTTTATTTATTTACTGATTTTAATAATTTTATACATGTATAGTGTATACAGTTTAAACAGAATAGAAAGATAAGCTCATTACAATATTAAATATTGATTATTAACTATTTAATAATTTGAGTATTAAATACAGTGGTTATAAAGGATTTATTAATGCATATTATGTCGAAACGGTATTTTTGTGATTTTAATTTTGTGTTATTTCTATGTTTATTCTAGCTTATATGAAAATGTAGCTATTAGGCATATGGAACAGAAATATAGTGCAGATTTGCCCGATGAAGAGTATAATTATTAGGCAGAGCTCTCTGAGCTCGTAAGCCTAGGCTTAAAACGTTGTTGTGTAATATTAGAGTTATTTTTGAGACAATTGAAATAATTTCCCTGCGCTTTCACATGATTGATTCGAAGAATGGGCATCTATTACAATTGGCTGTATAATTGTTCTTGAGCTTTGGGCTTTTGTATTTATTGGGGATACAGTTATACGGTATTTGGTGCAATCCCTCAATCAGTGATCAACCGCATTTGAAGCGTTTGAACTTAAGATTGCAATAGCAGTTGCACGTGTGAGTGTGTGACCATACGTTTGACAGCGTATTATAATATTGCGATGGGCAGTTGCTGTGTTTGAGGTATCTTAATATTATCTATTTCATATTAAGTAATGAAGCGTGATATTATGAATATCGATATTGTTACCTTGACGTATGAGGTACACAACATTTTATTTTTTTAATTTTTTTTCTCATAGTAGACGCGTTTCCCTGACAAATCAGCGGAAATGTTAGTTGGTGCTTGGTGACCTTATGAAGGTTTCTGACCATAATATTTTATGAACAAAAATATGGCAATAGGCAACATGTGCGGCGTATTAATACTGTTCTATGATAGGCGAATAACTGAACAAAGATGTTACTTATTATCCATAAGGATGAGGAATCATCGTCCAAGAAAAAAGAAGTGAAACAATTTGGTAAAATTAAATATTTTTCTAATCGATAATGGGGCTCGATTGATATGTTGATCAATTGTGTTCGTATGTGTTAAAAGATATATTATTAAGGACGCATGACCGGTATCCTGCTTGTCTAATGTTATTCCATCATAATATTAACTGCTGTGAGAGTATAACAGACGGTTAAGATAACATTACGAGTACACGAAGACCGTATAATTGAATAATATTATACACAGAATTGCTTGTAATACCTAGTGTGTACATTAAAAACCACATAGTTCAGTGATGGGAGATTATTAATATAATATTGAACGATTACTGAAGGGAAATTGTGTATCACGGCGTAGAGTACTTGAACGGTCTGCATGTGAGAACACATAATACCACATAAATGTTTATATCATATTGCAGTGTAACACCTAAAATCCCATTCACGAAAATACATAATAAATTATTAAAAAGTGGGTTTTGGACATTATTAAATTCTGAAAAATAGACTAATATTTTAAACATAAGGATAAAAACACAGAGACTTTGATGAATTTTTTTATTACAAACATTTGAAAAATGACAAAAAGAGTTATATATTGTGCTATATTTTTAGTGTCAAAACGGCTCCAAAAAGCCCTATTAAATATCATTATTTTCTTCCAGTTTATACAATATTTAATAATTTGCCATTTAGTTTATAAAAACTAATATAACAACATGGTACACCATATACTAAACTCTATATTTTAATAAATAACTGTTTATCTTATTGATTTAAATGTGTAGTAAATATAAAAGCGTATAACATTTCTTTCAGTTCAAAATATTTGAAGTATTACAAATCAATCATTGCTTCATAATGTACTGCGGTGTGTACCCTAACATAAATTTAGGTAGTGCGTTTACCAACTATAGTAGAACTTAATGTTTTCAATTGAAAATTAATTCGGTTTTATACTTTAAAAAAGTTTTTTGTATTATTATTAATATCGTAGATTCAGAACAAATCGGTTGTATATTACATTGTGTTTTATCATGTACGTTAACACTTTTTACGGCAGTTTGGGTTCTCTGAAAGTTTCATATGCAACCCCTTATTTATTGATTAAAAATTGGATACAGATGGTACTGTTTTCCAGAAACTTGAGAAAAATGGTGGGCTAATGATATTTGAAGTGAAGTGTATACGATCGCTTCGCACCATATTTGCTTTTTGTGGAACTATTTAATAATTCAAATTTTGCTAACAATTTTCATTTGCCTTTGAACTTATTCAAATTAATTGTTTATTTTTCCGATACCTAACTGTTTATATTTTATAATATACTTTCAATAACCCTTTTTAATGATTTAGTAAATGGGTTGAATTATACGTAGCTATTCTAACTACAAATAAAATATGTTAATAATATTTTATTTCCAAATTTTTTTTTATCAATTTGTCATGATAAATATTAAATTATGTTTAAACATTATTTTATGCACTTATGAGGGTTTATAAAACGAGAACTTTTCAAAAAGCTTTTTAACAATTTAATTAATTGCATTTTCCACTTGTAAACTCTCTTAGAAAAATCAATACGTAAGATTGATTATTATAAAATCTATTATTGTCAAATAATAAGGTATCATTTTTCAAAACATTTGTTTTAATAATAGTTCTTGAATCTAATGCATTATTTCTGCTCCAGTAGTTGTTATATAGCTATATAGTTATATTACGTCCTATATAAACTAAAATCTTAAAAATTGTTTGTATGCGTTCTTTCGATCATTCTACAATATAAATTCATGAAAAATACTAAATTAAAACTCATTTTATTAAACAAATACGTTTATATACTAAGTAATTATTGTTGTCAAGGACCATAACCGGAACCATATTGTAATCAGTTGCGTCATTTGAATTTACGAATAGGGGTGCCAACTTGTAAGCAGGCCAATTTTTTCATTGTAAGGCCACTTCTTCTTCTTAATAAACTACAATTTATTCCAGATTAAAAAAACTTTAAAAATATTGTTGCAATGGGAAACTGTATTATTTGAAATATATATTATGCATCTCTGTATCGTAGTATGATTTCTGTATTATTGTTACAAAGAACACTATAAAAAAATTACGAATAATTAATTCTGTTCAAAAAGTTATAACACACTTTTCTACACACTTTTCTTGTAATTTATTTAGAGGACGACATGCATTTGTTGTCTCAGAAAGGTAGTTTGACATACAAATTTTTAGTTCACTAGTTTGAATAGTTTTCTTTTAGTACTCACTTTTTATATTAGAATTAATTGACTTA